CGGTGGCCCCGGCCGCGGCCTTGGGCGACAGCACGGGGCCGAAAATGCGGTCCAGGTCATTGATGGAGGGCGCCTGCTCGGCGGGCCCTTCAGCGGCCCCCACGTCGCTGCCTGCGGTCAAAGTGGGTTAGTTTCAGCTTAGGCCGAGGCTGCCCCGGCACCCACGCTGGCACGAGGCCCTAACACAGTGCCCACAGGAGCGGGCACCTTCCAGCGCGGTTCTCCCACGTGCTGCCGCTGTGATTCACGTGCAAGGCAGGACACGGTGCCTCGCGCGCCAGCACGGCGAGCGGCTGCTCACATGCCCAGCTCTGCAGGGCAGCAGCTAAAGAACACGACGCCTGCATTGCCGGTCCCGCAAGCGCGCAGCGCATGCGTAACGTAGCGTGCAGCGCGGGAGCGAGGGGCACGCACGGCACGCTCGCTGCACCGCCGTGCCATGCTGTGCGGGGAACTGCACAGCACCCGTATTTGCTCGCAACCCGCTGCGGCGATCCGAGCGCCCCGCGGCACCGACGACGCTTGGCTCAGGAGCGGCCAAGGAAGCAGGAACCGGAGCAGCCCTGCAAAGCTGCAGGGGCCGAGCTCACTTTGCTGCTCGCTCCTGGGGCCTTTTCCACGCAACGGCAGCCCAGGGCATCACTCATGGCACATGAAGCAGGGGCTATGGTGACCCAAGCTTGCTGGGACGAGCAGGGCCAGGCGCCTGTGCAAGCAATGCACCTTCACCTATCGCACAGAGCAGCACCATGGATTGTACGCGTGCGTGCACTTTATTCTCTCTCGCTGTGTCTGGCAGCATCTCCCCCCTTGGTGCCGGGGGTTTAAACGCAGGTCGGGGCGGTGCAGGGCTTTTGCAAGACTGGAAAAAAAAGCGGAGCGGGAGCGCGTGAGCCCCGCGCCGGAGCGCGCCGTGGCCCCGCGCGCTCGGCCCTCGCCTCCATCCCCTTGCTCTGCACTGCAGAGCGAGCGGCCACCCAGCCGCGTCCCCAGGACCAGCGCCTTTAAGGGCTGCTTTAGCACAACTAGTGCTAAACTGGGTTAGCGCACAACTAGTGAGCATGATGCGGGCAAGGAACGGGGGCACTTCACCATGTGCCAACCTGCTGCCTTTAAGGTTAAAGTATATTCTTCTTTTTTAAAAAGGGAATTTGCATATTAATTAAAACTCATAGCCTCTGAGGCACCTCTCCACCCCCAAACCCAAGGCCTCAGGGACGCGCGGCCAGGACGTGCCAGGAACGGTGCTCGCTTGGGGCGGGCAGCCGGCATCGCCACTTACTTCCAGTAGGGAATGGTCGTGGCAGCTTGGGCGACTCGGTGCCGGAGCTCCCGGGCGGCGCCGAGCCCCAGATCTCGGGCTGATCCAGCGGAGCTGCAAAGAGAAGAGAAGTGAAGGCACCTTCTAACGAGAGGAGAGCAGCATTTGCAGAAAACACGTGTTCATTAAGTGCAGCGTCCCCTGTAAGGGTGGTGATTACAAGCTCGCCTCGTGTGCAGCAGGACACACCGTTAGTTTAATGCTCCTGGTGCTTGACAAGCAAACCAACATGACTCCGTGGTCAGGGAAAGCAGGTATCAAAGGAAGAGCAGGGCAGATTTTACAGGCAGAGCGTAGGGAGGCCTGGCATCCTTCGTGCTCTGCTTCAGCTTCCCCCTTCCCTTGGGAAAAGTTAGGAGCATTGGGTCAAACACATGGACCAATGGGCAGGATGATGATGAGGCTGCCGGCAGCGGAGCAGAGCTGCGTGTGCCTTGCCACAGCCAGCAGCTCTCCTTGCAGCCCGGCCACCGCCCCTTGATTTATTAAAATAATAATAATAAGAAAAATAATAATTATTATTATTGTTGAAATAATAATTAATTATTGTGCTGTTATTCCTTCCTATCACATGTGCTGGCAGAGCCGTTGCAGACATGCAACCTTTGGAGAGGATGAAAGACCTCTGCCTTTGGAGAGGATGAAAGAGCCTGGATTCCCGGGATGGCGCCTGAGGCAGGTATTAAGAGGCACAAGCAAATCCCGAGCCCGCGCCACGGAGGGGCCGAGGCCAGGGAGCCCCCGCACCTCCCACCCGCCTCAGCACCTCCGCCTGTTACTTAAGTAATAAGTGACACTATCAAGTCCCAAAGATTCTATGCCCGGTGCTCATGCTGCTCGCTGCCCCACGAGCACCGTGTGGGCAGTGGCACCTAGAGCTTGGGGAAATATTTGGCACATTTACTGCTTTATTCGGGCACACACAAGAAAAGGGTCAAAACTCAGCCTGGAGAAGAGAAGGCTGAGAGGGGATCTAATCAGCGTCTAGAAGTACCTCAAGGGAGGGAGTGAGGAGGATTGTGCTGGCCTCTTTTCCCTGGTGCCACCAACAGAACCAGAGGAAATGGCCACAAACTGAAGCACCAAAAGTTCCACATGAACTTAAGGAAAATTTTTTTAACAGTGAGGGTGACAGAGCACTGGAACAGGCTGCCCAGAGAGGTTGTGGAGTCTCCTTCTCTGGAGATCTTCAAACCCGCTTGGACGCAGTCCTGTGCCACGTGCTCTAGGTGACCCTGCGTGTGCAGGGGGTTGGACTAGATGACCTCGAGAGGTCCCTTCCAACGTTCAGCATTCTGTGATTCTATTCTAAAATGTGGAGATGTTGATACTCTGTGCAGTGGTACCAGCGTGCCCCGCCAACTTAAACATTTAAAAGCCGCACGTGGCGCTTGTACCTGTTCATAACATAAAGACCACACTGGGGAAAAGGTGCAGGAAATGCACTGGTACACCAGAAACTGCCTTAATTATTTAGTGATAAGTAAAAGTGCTACAAATCCGCGCGGCCGCGTTCG